TATTCGAAGGCCATTCGGACAGACCTCACTTCGATTATCCTTTTTGTGAGACCTTTAGAATAAGGAGACGAGCTTATGCATACTGCTGTTCCACACTGATGAGTGGGGCTATTCAGTATTCACCACCGTCTTTGCTAGAACCTTGACCTTCTACACGCCCTTGTCTTTTGTAGGATAGTTCTTTGCTGCTTGACTGTGACAGTGAATTCAGCTTTGACGTTAATGAATTTGCCGATCGCCGTAACCGCTCGTATAGTGGCGCGCACATTTTCAGTGCCACCTAAAAATCATACAGCCAATCAATTTCGTCGTTCACAATCGTTGGCAAACAGACTGCTATATCGGTTTTGAAATCTTGAAAATTTTAGAATATTAGAAGGCACCCATAGGATTTACAAGCCATACCATGAACGAATATGTAAAATCATTGACGACGCGCACCAGCCGGGCCGGGTGCGATGACGCATTTTTGCCTACTTGGCGCTATAGTAAGATCGCTCGGATCCCCAGTAGTTAGAATTTGTAGATATTGGTGCTCGAAGTTTAGGAGGTTAATTGTACAACTACGTGGTGCTTGGATACGGAACACTGCCTTAAAATTTCACCTTCCATCTTTTCTGGTCCTCGAGTTACTAGTTTTCCCGCCGAAAAATTTACGGCATATGTAAGAACCACGCATACCTACGGCTGAATTTGAATGTTTAAGTTGTACTCGAGCTGCAAACTTCTCTCAAAATTTCAGCCTTCCAGCTTTCCTGGTTCCCGTTTTAGTGATTTCCCGCCAAAGATTTTCACGCCATGCACGCGAGGCCCACATGTGTGTGAAGGTTGATGCCGTGGCCCGGAGTGGCATTTGGCAGGAATCTGCTGGCAAAATTTCAGTACCGGAGTTTCCTTTGTTGCTGAATTGAAATATCCGGACACACACATACACACGCACACATGCATTATGGGCACAAACGCGCACATACACCAATTTAAATTTGATGGTTAGGTATTTGACAGAGACTATATTAGCGAATAGATAAAATTAGAAAATAAGAAACAGACAAAGATAACGGAGCTACGGAGATGTACTAGGGAAGCTGTAGACAGCTTGTTATTACATGTTTTGGAGAATTAAATGGTAAAGAGAAATTTTCCGTATAATTCCTTAAAATACTCTCTACAGCTCCACACAGTTTCCTCAGCAATTCTTATGCACATATTACCTCGTAAGGAGGAGGCGGTTCGTCAATTGGCCTCATCGGCTCAATCAGTGGATGGCAGTCGTCCATTGCCTCCTCACTAATGGAATTATATCCGGAGGAGCGCCAAGCTGCCGATAATCCGCCAATGCTTGCGGACCGTGGTGGGCCACTGACTGTCCGTGGTAGCGCAGAAGAAGGTGTTGCTACCGCTTGAGGATCAGAGCGACCAGTTATCCTGAAATATGATGAAATGGAAAATCAATTTTTTGAGATGTTGGTTCTGAAATATAATTTTGACCATAAACAAATAATCAAATTTTTATGCGTTTTTTGCTGCGCAAGAGCTGCATAAAATGCATATTGTCACTGGGTTATCTGGATGTGTGTGTTTCCGATGCATCTTGTCGCAACTTTTAACCCGGGAACCACAAAAGCCAACGGCTGAAAAATTAAGCGAATGTTCTCCGCCTGCGTGTGACCCCGAAATTTAATTTCAGCCTTCCTCTCCCCTTGGGTACAGCGCATAACTCCGTGAACATCTTAGCAGGGAAAATTATCTCGGGGATGATGAAAGCCGGGAAGCTTAAATTTAATGCCCCTGCCTAAATGCAAACCACGCAAATTTAAATTCAGCCTTCCCGCGTGGTCAGATATCACATGCGACCTCGTGAAAGTTTTAGCGGAAAGAATTATTGCTCGGGAGCTGCAAAACTTGGGTAGTCTGAAATTTCGCGGTAATGTCCCTCGCCTGAGTACAATTTCGCAGTTTAAATTCAGCCTTCCCGAGCACCCGGGAATCAATTACACCCCTGTGAAAGTTTTGGTAGGGAAAGTTATTATCTTGGGAATCACGAAAGCTAGGAAGCTAAAGGTTAAGGTTATTGACCTCTGCTTACGTATGACCCCACAAATTCAAATCCGGCTTTCACGTACACCTGGGTTCTAAAGTCCCCGTGAATGTTTGGGGGAAAATTATTGCCCGGAATTCAGAAAAGGGTAGGAGGCTGAAAATTTCAGAATGATATTTTTTATTTATGCAGTAGCCACACAAATTCGAATTTAGTCTCCAAGTATGCCGAGACCTCACGTACGGTCACGTAAAAGCCTTGTGTAATCACTCGAGAGCCAGAAAATTAGGAAATCGATCCTGGAATGACGTTCACCGTCCAAAGTTTTAATGGGAATTTCGCAACATTTCAACTATTTTTGTACAGACCAAAACGTAGAGCATTGAAAATCCTTAGCAGGCAAACGTTTGTTGAACGGAACTTGTATGATCGCCCGGCTACTCCAGTGCACGCCGCTATTTATATTTTTCTGAACTCGCTTACTTGCTTAGCATCAGACTCATGGATCTACTCCGAAGAGGTATTCGATCAACGAAATAACGACGAATCGACGATCGTCTTTGTTCGTTCCGCCGATAACGCCGCGGCGAATTCCGTACGGCTCCATAATTTGTTATGACATTTTCATTGCAGGCCGTTACGGCGCGATTTCGATTTCGGATGTGACCACTGGGAAGGACGTGCTGTAAGACAATCACTTTAATTTGTCTAGATTCTGAAAATGTCTTTTCTAGCAAATTAATTTATCCACCAAATACCTCAAAAAGGCTGTCGTTATATGAAAATCTTGAAACTATGTTGTTTTTCAAACTTTTTCTCTGGGTGTCATTTGTCTTCCTCAAGGAATTACCTGGTTGAGTGCATTGGCTGGATCCATGAGCATCACCTCGCTATAGCTTGGAACAATCAGATAACCATCCCGTTGCACCATTAAATCCAGCTCACGACTGTCAATTGTTGACGTGCGCGTTACAGGACCCGTGTAATTAATGCTCGATGGGCTAATAACAATGAGAAAATTTTCTCAAGTGATGAATGCGGTAAATCGGACCCGGATGTGAAGAGCGTAGAGAGATAAAAATATCGCAGCAGATTCGGATGATGTTAGATAGATGATTTACAAAAACACTTTGCAGTACTGGTGGTGACGGACAGAGCGTTAGAGCGAAGAATGCCTGGCGCAAATTGCAACAAATGAGTCCCGAGAAATTATCGCTCTTCTACCAAATCGTCTGGGGAGTGCGATGAGTACAAATTCGCACCACAGTGAATATGGTAGTTTGACAAGCAATAAAGCTTGTTGGTTAACAAGTTCGGTATTTTTAACCCAGGCTGGAATGCACTATTGTTGCGGTGCGAGAAACGTTTTCGTCCCAGACTTGAAGTACTTAGGCCGCCAACTGCGCGAATGGTTGTTGCTTTACACTTACATTTTGCGCCCGCTAAATTGTCGCAAATTTTGCATAAAGGAGATGAATAATTTCCATTTAACAGTCGTTCTTTGAAAATACCTATGCTGTTCAGTGAGCAATTTCCCCGCAAAAACTTTTAACCGCGCATCCCTCGAAACTGAGTTTGAAACATTTATGTTGTACTTGAACAGGAAACATTTTCCTAAAATTCAGTTTTCCAATTTTTCTGGTTTACAAATTACAAATTTTCCACTAAAACTCTCACATGCCCATACGTGAAGGCCATGCATACCTAGGAGCTAAAACTGAAACCTTTGGCTCACACATGCAAAATTCATGTGCAAAATTAGCTCATCCATGCAAAGTTTCAGTTCACTATCCGTTCTGGTTCCCGAGATCGCCCTTCCGCAAAAAATTTGCATATTTTTTTAAGGCATTTGTACGTGACACCCAGGCGTACGCGAGGATGATATTAAAATCATTGGCGACGCGCACCGACGGGCCAGTGCGATCATGCGTTTTTGCAGTGTTTCGTGCTGTGATAAGATTATTCGAAATTCCACTAGCTAGAAACCACTTGTACATACTGGTCCTCGAATTTCGGGAAGTTAATTATCCACGCTGTACTTGGAAAGGGAACATTCCCTTGGAATCCCAGGTTCCCAGCTTTCCCAGTCCCCGAGTTAACCAAATCCCAGCCAGAAAATTTCACAGGGCCGTGCGAGGTAACCACGCATATTGGGGGGCTGAATTTGATAAACTGAAGTTGTAAATGAGTTGGGAACATTTCCTGAAAGTTTCAGCCTTCCAGCTTTTTTGGTTCCCGAGCTAGCGATTTTCGCGCCAGGAACTCTCACGGGACCGTACGCGAGAAACACGTACACCTGGGGGCTGAATTTAAAATCTTTGAGTTCTAATGGACGGGGAATACAATCCAAAAATTTCACCTTTCTAGCTTTTCTGGTTCCAAAGTTAGCGATTTCCCCGCCAAAAATTTGGGGCGCTCGTACGCCGGGCCTGGACGTGCGTGAGGATTGGTACCGAGGTCCTGGGGTGGTAATTGGCCGGGGAACACCCTCGCAAAATTTTGGCGCCGGAGCTTGCTTGGGTGCCGAGTTGAAATACCCGGACAGACGCACGCGCACA